GTAGTCTGAACGGATCGTCACAATTTCACAAAGATAATAAATAGAAGAAGACAGATCAGTTTCGCGGATTGCGGAACATCTGGTCGAAATGCATTGTGGGAGGACGGAGAGCAATTTTACCCGCCCATGCGGTGGCACTGTATGTCTCTCGCTCCATCTAATTGTCAAATTTACCCCGCTCACGGGAAGGCACATGTTCCATTATTTTTTTCCTATTTTTTTCTTCTTTTTTTTCCGCAAATACGTGAAGAGCTCATTCTTCTGCTATTTAATTTCTTTGATTGTCATTAAAGACGATCCGCTGCGCGCGTGTAGTGGCGCAGGGTTGTTCTCCACTCGCTTCGGCCAACGACCGTCAGGCGCAATGAGTGACCGGCTCTAAAGCCGTCCAAACTATGAAATTTTATTTGAAAAAAAAAAATTATATTATGGTCAGGATGGCATCACATAATGATAATCCTACATCCGTCCCTCATCACTTAATGACCGAATACATCAATGTTATTCAATTCAATTAACATTTATTTCAATTGTCACATATAAAGAATCTTTTGACAAAAACAATGGGGGCAATGCTTTAAAAGCTCAGAAGCTTGCAGAGCAGGAAAGCCCTCCTGCAAGCTATAATAATAGGCAAGAAATATCTTATAATAAAAATATAGCGTTCTCCGATGATTTCTGTAAATTCTGTAATAACGCAGTGTAGGACGCCCTCTTGCAATTACAATTATAATATTTGAAACTTTGATCAATGACGATGTCAGTGCAAATTCTGGAACAACCGCACTAGTAACAACTTGGACGCCTTCTTTCAATTACAATTACTTTCTATTGTTATCTGTGTGAATTGGACGCTTTTATTTGTTACACGCAAACAGCGGAGAACGCTATCTTGTTATTAAAAGATCTTTGATAGGCATACAACAGTTTTTTTTGTCATAAAAATTTGGTAGTGTGGACAGATCTTAAGTAAGGTTTTATGTAAGTAAATGGGGAGGCTAATGTATAATTTAGCCGCGCGAATAATAATTTTGCTAGGTTTATGCGTGAATTTTGTTCTGGGCAAGACGTTATAAACTGCATCCGGTCGAGTCGTCGGCGACTAATTCCGACAACCCCATCTGGTGGTCTTTAGCGGCCGCCAATGGGAGGGTGGATGGACACCCAGCAGCACGAAAAAA